CCAAAAGGTTCCCGGAACCTGTGGGTTCACTCTCTCCATCAAGTGTCGATGAGTCCTCAGAATCAGAGATGGTCATAATAGACATAGCGGCTTCGATGCCTTTGCCACCAGAACAGGTGAATGAAATTCGATTGACGCACTTCTGGCTCAACAGGTGAGCTCCCATGCATTACGTGCCACCTGTAAAAGGCACGGAGTCAGAGGAACCTGACCGGGTGTTAAAATGCCCAGGCAGCTCTCCAAAAAAAAAGGACACACCTATGTCCTCAAATTCAGAGGGGGTGGGAGATAGTGACTGTAACAAGGTCAGTCTCATGGAATATAAATTCCCAGACTGGATCAGATTAAACAGCTCCAATCAGGTAGCTCTGGCTGACAGATAAAATAGGACTGTCAGAGGTATTGATCCTTTTTACTGAGGTATTGAAGTCTGTTATTGAGAGGCTAAAAGAAGCTACATACTTCAAGAGAAGGTACTTTTGGTACACTTGCCTTCATTAGTCAGAACATTGAGTATAGGAATTGAGACATCATCTTGCAGCTGTACAGAACATTAGTAAGGCCACAAATATAGAAATTGCTGGAAAAGCTCAGCAGGTCTGGCAGGATCTGTGGACAGAAAACAGAGTCAACATTTTGGGTCAAGTGACCCTTCTTCAGAACAAAGGAAGGGTTACTCCACCTGAAGCATTAACTCTGATTTCTCTCCGTGAAAGTTGCCAAATCTGCTGAGCTGTTCCAGCGATTTCTATTTTTTGTCTCTGATTTACAACATCTGCAGTTCTTTCGGTTTTTATTGGTGACGCCACTTACAGAATACTGCGTACAATTCTGGTCACACATCTATAAGAAAGATGTTGTTAAACTTGAAAGGATGTTGCCAGGGTTGGAGGGTTTGAGCTAAAGGGAGAGACTGAATTCACTGATGCTTTTTTGCTTCGAGTGTCAGAGGCTGAGGGGTGACATTATAGAGGTTTATATAATCATAAGGGGCAAGGATAGGGTAAATACCCAAGGTCGTTATCCTCGGGTGGGGGAGTCCAAAACTAGAGCACGTAGGTTTAAGGTTTGAAGGGAAAGAATTTAAAAGGACCTGAGACGTCTATGTTTTCACAGGCAAGGTGAGGCGTGTATATAACGAACTGCCAGAGGATGTGGTGGAGGTGGTTACAATTACAACATTTAAAACGCATCTGGATGGATATATGAAATGGATATGGGTCGAATACTGGCAAATGGGACTAGGTTAGATTGGGATGCTTGATCGGTGCAGACGAGTTGGACCAAAGGGTCTGTTTCTATGCTGTATGACTATGACACAGCCTCATGTTTGAGATATTTCAGTCTCTCCATGTAGGGTGCAAGTTGTGTAGAATAAACAACCAAGTTTTTAAAAACATCATGACAGCTTTCAAATTTACTCTTGAAAACAGGTGATAGATAGAACTATCAGGTGAACATATAAGCCCATTCTTAATTTGTAGATATATCTTTCTTCAGGTCGAATAAGCATTCTATCTATACTTGAGAGATTATCATCTTTTTTCAACCTTTCATGGTTGTAATAAGTTCCAAGTACTCTGTTCCACAGTTCACTAACCCCTAAAATTTCAGTTATTACTGGCATGTTAGATTACTGTGCAAAAAAAATTTACATCTAAGCTCTTTAAGTTTCAAAATATTCTTGCAAAATCTGAGAATGATTAAGAAGCCTTTTCATGGAAATTGTGATGATAGATAACATTTTTACTTTGACTTTCAGTCACTACTAGATTCCAAGTTGTTATTACAAAAGGAAAAGTCAGAAAAGTGACAAGGCAAGTTTAACAACTGGGTAACCAATAGCAAACTAACTTACCATCACCAGTTACATACAATCAGTTGCTCCTAGAATTTTAAATTTTACTCTTACTACATTCAAAAACATACGTGCGCAGTATTACTGTGCATTCCTAAATGAACAGAAGTAACCATGTTCAAAATGACAAATAGTTCAGAGCTAATAGAGAAAGATTGCTCCCACTGATTGATGAATCAGTACGAAGGAGACATAGACTGAGGACTTCTTTTTTTAATTCACTCGTGGGACATGCGTGACACTGGCTGGCCAGCATTTATTGTCCCTTCCTAGCTGCCCTTGAGAAAATGGTGGTGAGCTGCCTTCTTGAACCACAGCAATCCACATGCTGCAAGTTGACCCACAATATCCTTAAGGAGGGAATTCCAGGATTTTGACTCAGTGATATTGAAGGAATGGCAATATATTTCCAATTCAGGATGGTGAGTGGTTTGCAGGTGGCGATATTCCCATATATCTGCTGACCTTGTCCTTCTAGATGGAAGGGGTCATAGGTTTGGAAGGTGCTGTCTACGGATCTTTGGTGAATTTCTGCAGTACACCTTGTAAATAGTCCACACTGCTGCTACTGAACATCAGTGGTGAAGAGAGTGGATCTTTGTGAATGTAGTGCCAATCAAGCAAGCTGCTTTCTCTTGGATGGCATCACGCATCTTGAATGTTGTTGGAGCTGCACCCATCCAAGCAGGTGGGGAGTATTCCAGGTGAGTTACCCAGCCTCCACTACTCTCTGCGGGAAGGTGGGCGGGGGGAGGAATAATGCCACAGATCCACTGTGTGATTTTTAAGCATTACTTCTTCCAAAATTCTAGATTTTGTGCTGAAATGCTTTTAACAATCATTGCAAAAGATAAAATATCTATTCATTCCAGTGAGCTGTGCTTACAATTTGACTCCATTTTGCGCTATGCTTGAATGGACAGAGCTATCTTTGTTCCTGATACTACTTGTTCCACTGCCAAGCTGTGTTTATCCATGTGCTCCATTCACAATAAACAATGCCTTCTCCTTACTTGTGTCTTAAATGGAAGACCCTTAATTTTCAAACCTGGTCACCTGGCTCTTCAAAATAAAGAAAACTCGAGTTTAATTTATCCTTCTGAAAAGTAATTTTGTAAATAGTTTCTTCTTCCAGTTTCAGGACCAAACTTGTCAAAGATTTCTGGCATCACCTCATCAGAAAATACATGTCAAACTCAGAAGCCTAAAAAATGTCTCTTGTTGGTTGTGCCACAAATCTACACTGCAGCAGCATCCCACCTTTAATTAAGTTAGTCAAATTGAATCTCCTGAAAAGAGCTATTTGAATTTTACATAGAACAGAGAACAGTATAGCACAGGAACGGGCCCTTTGGCCCACAATGTTGTGCTGAACATGAACGCCAAATTAAACTAGTCCCTTCTTCCTGCCCTTGGTCAATATCCCTCCATCCTTTCATATTCACGTGCTTATCTACAAGTCCCTTAAATGCCCCTATTGTATCTGCCTGCACCACCACCCCTGGTAGTTCGTTCCAGAATCCTACCATTCTGTGTAAAAAAAAACTTGCCCTTCACATCTCCTGTGAACTTTCCCCCTCTCACCTTAAATGCATGCCCCTAGTATCAGACATTTCAATCCTGGGATAAGGGTTCTGACTGTCAAGCCTAGCTATGCATCTCATAATTTTATAGACTTTTATCAAGTCTCTCCTCAGGGTCTACCACTCCAGAGAAAACAGTTTCCCGAGGCTCTCCTTATAGCTCATACCCTCCAATCCAGGCAACGTCCTGTTAAACATCTTCTGCACCCTCTCCAAAGCCTCCAAATCCTTCCTGTAATGTAGCAACCAGAATTCAATGCAATATTCTAAGTGTAGCCTAACCAAAGTCTTATAAAGCGGCAACATAATTTCCTGACTTTTGTACTCAATTCCCCAACCAATAAAGGCAAGCATGCCACACGCCTTCTTTACCACCTTATCTACTTGTATGGCCACTTTCAGGAAGCCACGCACTTGAACCTCAAGATCCCTCCTCACACCAATGCTGATAAGGGTCCTGCCATTAACTGTATACTTTTCATTAACATTTGATCTCCCAAATTGCAGCACCTCACACTTATCCAGATTTAACTCTATCTGCCATTTCTCCACCCATATCTGCAACTGATCGACATCCCAACCTTTGACAACCTTTTACACCATCCACAACTCCATTGATTTTTGTATCGTCTTCAAACGTAGTAACCCACCCATCTACATTTTCATCCAAGTCATTTATATACATATCATAAAAAGCAGAGGTCCCAGTACGATCCCTGCAGAACATCACTAGTCACAGACCTCCAGGTAGAAAACACCCTTCCACCGCTACGCTCTGCCTTCTATGGTCAAGCCAATTCTGAATCCACACAGCCAAGTCACCGTGGATTCCCATGCATCTTCACCTTCTGGATGAGCCTACTATGAGGAACCTTGTCAAAAGCCTGACTAAAATCAATGTACACAGTATCCACTGTTCTATCCTCATTGAGCACCTTCATTACCTCCTCAAAAAATTCACGTCAGTAAGAAATGATCTTCCCCATACAAAGCCATATTGACTATCCCTAATTAGGCCATGCTTTTCCAAACATGCATAAATCTTATCCCCAAGAATTCTCTCCAATAGTTTCCCAACGACCAACGTGACACTCACTGGTCTATAGTTTCTTGGATTATCTATATTTCCCTTCTTGAACAGAGGAACAACATTAGCTATTGCCAGTCCTCTGGGACCTCTCCAGTGGCTAGCAAGGATACAAAGATCTTGGTCAAGGCCTCAGCAATCTCCTCTCTTGCCTCTCTCAATACAAGTGATTCAACAACACTTCTTTCTTGATCTCAAAATGCCCAAGCAGATTAGTACGCTCCAAACTAATCTCACTGTCCTACACATCCTTCTCCTGGGTGAATACCAAGTACTCATTTAGGATTTTGCATGTATTCTCTGCCTCCAAGAACAAATACCCTCCTTTATCCTTTCATGAGCCTAACCCCTCCCTAGTTATCCTCTTGTTTTTAACATATGTAAAGAATGCCTTGGGATTCTCTTTAACTTCAAAACTTCAAAATGAAGTAAAAGTATCCTGATTGCACAGTATGAATATAGGAAAACTTACTTGATGTAATATGGCACTTTATTGTTGTGTGATACAGCTCTCTGCCAAGGCAGCTGGACGGAGGCTACAGGTATGAAAGTACAGGATTAGAACTAAAAAATACCAAACATACGCATAGGTCACTAGACTGTTACTATAGCGCACTCTTTAACAGCCTGAGGATCCAACTTAATTTTTAGACTGAATATAAACAGCAAAATATATTAATCTTGGTATTTTGCTAAGGTCATAAATTTATTGATAATCCAGTAGCACAACTAACAGTGCTTCACTCGAACTGTAGACAGCATGGATTAATTTGACTTTACACTCATGCAGACACTTAAAATCTTCAAATATTCTAAATATTCTTCAACACTAGTATATTTAAAATGCAACAAAATTAAGGTGCCAGATTTTTGCAAGTCTGACTTACTCGAAAGAAAGTGTTGTGATGAAGGACCAAAATCCCGGTATGCTTCTTGCAACTGCTTGATCCGATCCTCAACAGCAACCTAAAATTAAAGAAAAGGAGCTGAAATTGATGTATTCCCTTTAGAACTACAGTGGCAAAGGAAGAAGTATCCCTTTGATCTCAACGAATAAATTGCTGTTAATATTGATAGAATCATAAAATGGTTGTGACACAGGGGTAATGAAGGCTGATTTGAAGGAGGGCGAAACAAGTCACTATTAAAAAGAGGTGTTGTGCGTCTTAAAAAGTATTAAAAGAACAAACAAAGAGCAAAGAAAATTACAGCACAGGAACAGGCCCTTCGGCTCTCCAAGCCTGCGCCGATCCACCTCTATCTAAACCTGTCACCTATTTTCTAAGGATCTGTATCCCTCTGCTCCCTGCCCATTCATGTATCTGTCCAGATAGATCTTAAATGATGCTATCGTGCCTACCTCTACCACCTCCGCTGGCAATGCATTCCAGGCACCCTCCACCCTCTGCGTAAAGAACTTTCCACGCATATCTCCCTTAAACTTTTCCCCTCTCACCTTGAAATCGTGACCCCTAGTAATTGAGTCCCCCACCCTGGGAAAAAGCTTCTTGCTATCCACCTTGTCAATACCTCTCATGATTTTGTAGACCTCAATCAGGTCCCCCCTCAACCTCCATCTTTCTAATGTAAATAATCCTAATCTAAGCAACCTCTCTTCATAGCTAGCGCCCTCCATACCATACAACATCCTGGTGAACCTCCTCTGCACCCTCTCCAAAGCATCCACATCCTTTTGGTAATGTGGCGACCAGAACTGTACGCAGTATTCCAAATGTGGTCGAACCAAAGTCCTATACAACTGTAACATGACCTGCCGACTCTTGTACTCAATACCCTGTCCGACGAATGAAAGCATGCCGTATGCCTTCTTGACCTCTCTATTGACCTGCATTGCCACCTTCAGGGTACAATGGACCTGAACACCCAGATCTCTCTGTGCACCAAATTTCCCCAGGGCTTTTCCATTTACCATATAGTTCACTCTTGAATTGGATCTTCCAAAATGCATCACCTTGCATTTGCCTGGATTGAACTTCATCTGCCATTTCTCCGCCCAACTCTCCAATATATCTATATTCTGCTGCATTCTCCGACAGTCCCTTTCACTATCTGCTACTCCACCAATCTTAGTGTCATTTGCAAACTTGCTAATCAGACCATCTATACCCTCCTCCAGATCATTTATGTAAATCACAAACAACAGTGGTCCCAACACAGATCCCTGTGGAACACCACTGGTCACAGTTCTCCATTTTGAGAAACTCCCTTCCACTACAACTCTCTGTCTCCTGTTGCCCAGCCAATTCTCTATCCATCTAGCTAGTCCACCCTGGACCCGTGGCGACTTCACTTTCTCCATCAGCCTACCATGGGGAACCTTATCAAACGCCTTACTGAAGTCCACGTAAATGACATCTACAGCCCTTCCCTCATCTATCAACTTTGTCACTTCCTCAAAGAATTCTATCAAGTTGGTAAGACATGATCTTCCCTGCACAAAACAATGCTGCCTATCACTAATAAGCCCATTTTCTTCCAAATGTAAATCGATCCTATCCCTCAGTATCTTCTCCAGCAGCTTCCCCATCACTGACGTCAAGCTCACCGGTCTATAATTTCCTGGATTATCCTTGCTACCCTTCTTAAACAAGGGGACAACATTAGCAATTCTCCAGTCCTCCGGGACTTCCATTTTTTACAGCGGGAGCAGTGAGAGCGAGGACCGTGGCCTGCCAGGAGGTAAGTTTCCCAGTTAAAAACTTACCTCGTGCAATCAGCGGCCTCCACTTTTTGCAGCAGCAGCGGGAGCAGTGACAGCGAGGACCAGGGGCCTGCCGGGAGGTAAGTTCTTCATTTCAGCAGCGGAGCTGAGTGGGAGCGGTCGAATTGCGCTCTCAGAAGCGAGTGAACTGATATATCTGGGCAGTGGCTAAACCCGAGACACTACACTTGTAGTGTCTCCCACCCGCCCTCCTCCTCTGACCAAACAAAAAAGACTCTGCTGTGTTGATAAGCTAAGTGTTTTTCTTTTTCCTTTTTTTTAATCGTGTGCTGATAAGTAGAGTGATTTGGTACAAATATTTTTAATTTCATTTATCTAGTATTTGATATTATAGCAGCACTAAGTTAAGCTTAAGAGTAAAAACGGCAGGAGATCTCAGACCCGTGTTATGATCCGCTTGCTCAATGTGGGAGCTCATGGACGTGGCTGATGTCCCTGACTCCTACACGTGCAGGAAGTGTGTCCAGCTGCAGCTCTTGTTAGACCGCATGGAGCTGCGGATGGACTCACTTTGGAGCATCCGCGATGCTGAGGAAGTCGTGGATAGCACGTTCAGCAAATTGGTCACACCGCAGATTAGGATCGCTGAGGGAGAAAGGGAATGGGTGACTAAAAGGCAGAAAAAAAGCAGGAAGGCAGTGCAGGTGTCCCCTGCAGTCATCTCCCTCCAAAGCAGGTATACCGTTTTGGATACTGTTGGGGGAGATGGCTCACCAGGGGAAGGCAGCAGTAGCCAGGTTCATGGCACCATGGCTGGCTCTGCTGTACAGAAGGGTGGGAAAAAAAGTGGAAGGGCTATAGTCATAGGGGATTCGATTGTAAGGGGAGTAGATAGGCGGTTCTGTGGTCGAAAACGAGACTCCCGAATGGTATGTTGCCTCCCAGGTGCACGGATCAGGGATGTCTCAGATCAACTGCAGGACATTCTGAAGGAGGAGGGTGAACAGCCAGCTGTCGTGGTGCATATAGGCACCAATGATATGGGTAAAAAACGGGATGAGGTTCTACAAGCAGAATTTAGGGAGTTAGGAGCCAAATTAAAAAGTAGGACCTCAGAGGTAGTAATCTCAGGATTGCTACCAGTGCCACGTGCTAGTCAGAGTAGAAATGAAAAAATAGGCAGGATAAATGAGTGGCTTGAGAGATGGTGCAGGAGGGAGAGGTTCAGATTTTTGGGACATTGGGACCAGTTCTGGGGGAGGTGGGACTATTACAAATCGGACGGTCTACACCTGGGCAGGACTGGAACCAATGTCCTCGGGGCTGCTTTTGCTAACGCTGTTGGGGAGGGTTTAAACTAATGTAGCAGGGGGATGGGAACCAAATGGGGAGGTTAGTGGACAGTAAGGAGGTAGTAACTAAAACCTGTAAGGAACTAGATAATGATATCAGTGTGACTAAGAGGAAGAGTAGGCAGAGAGCAGACGATGAACGCAGAGGGACAGGTGGTCTGAGGTGCATTTGTTTTAATGCGAGAAGTGTAGTAGGTAAGGCAGATGAACGTTGGGCTTGGATTAGTACCTGGGAGTACGATGTTATTGCTATTACTGAGACTTGGTTGAGGGAAGGGCAAGATTGGCAACTCTTTATCCCAGGATATAGATGCTTCAGGCGGGATAGAGAGGGAGGTAAAAGAGGTGGATGAGTTGCATTACTGGTCAACGAGGATATCACAGCTGTGCTGAAGGAGGGCACTATGGAGAACTCGAGCAGTGAGGCAATATGGGTTTAGCTCAGAAATAGGAAGGGTGCGGTAACAACGTTGGGGCTGTACTACAGGCCTCCCAACAGCGAGCGTGAGATAGAGGCACAAGTATGTAGACAGATTATGGAAAGATGTGGGAACAACAGGGTGGTAATGATGGGAGATTTTAATTTTCCCAACATTGACTGGGATTCACTTAGTGTTAGGGGTTTAGATGGAGCAGAATTTGTAAGGAGCATCCAGGAGGGTTTTCCAGAGCAGTATGTAAATAGTCCAATTCGGGAAGGGGCCATACTGGACCTGCTGTTGGGGAATGAGACCGGCCAGGTGGTTGAAGTTTCAGTAGGGGATTACTTTGGGAATAGTGATCACAATTCCGTAAGTTTTAGAATACTGATGGACAAAGACGAGAGTGGTCCTAAAGGAAGAGTGCTGAATTGGGGAAAGGCCAACTCGAGCAAAATTCAACAGGAGCTGGGGAATGTGGATTGGGAGCAGTTGTTTGAGGGTAAATCCACATTTGATATGTGGGAGGTTTTTAAAGAGAGGTTGATTAGAGTGCAGGACAGACATGTCCCTGTGAAAATGAGGGATAGAAAGGACAAGATTAGGGAACCATGGATGACAGGTGAAATTGTGAGACTAGCAAAGAGGAAAAAGGACGCATACATAAGGTCTAGGTGACTGAAAACAGACAAAGCTTTGGAAGAATATTGGGAAAGTAGTTCCAATCTGAAACGAGGAATTAAGAGGGCTAAAAGGGCTATTAAGGTAGATAAGTCCCTGGGTCTTGATGGAATCTATCCCAGAATATTGAGGGAGACAAGAGAACAAATTGCTGGAGCACTGACAGACCACTTTGTATCCTCTTTGGTCCCAGGACTGGAGAATAGCCAATGTTGTCCCATTGTTTAAGAAACATAGTAGGGATAATCCCGGAAATCACAGACCTGTGAGCGTCACATCGCTGGTAAGGAAATTACTGGAAAAGATGCTCAGTGACAAGATCTATATGCATTTAGAAGCTAATGGACTTAATAACGACAGACAGCCTGGTTTTGTATGGGGGAGGTCATGCCTGACTAACTTGACTAAGTGTTTTGAGGAGGTGATGAAGATGATTAATGAGAGAAAAGCAGATGATGTCGTCCACATGGACTTCAGTGAAGCCTTTGACAAGGTCCCTTGTGGCAGACTGGTACAAAAGGTGAAGTCACATGGTATCAAAGGCAAGATGGATACAGAACTGGCTTAGTCACAGGAGACAGAGGGGAGGGGTGGAAGGATGCTTTTCCGAATGGAGGGTTGTGACAAGTGTTGTTCCACAGGGATCAGTGCTGGGACCTCTGGTGTTCATGGTTTACATAAATGCTTTGGAGGAAAATGTAGCTGGTATAATTAGTCAGTTTACAGATGATACAAAGATTGGTGGAGTTGTGAATAGTGAGGAGGATTGTCAGAGGATACAGCAAGATATAGGTGAGCTGGAGGCATGAGCAGAAAAATAGCAAATGGAGT